TTTAAGCAGTCAGAATGTGAGTGAGAGGGAGAAAACAACTCTTCAGGCTAATGGTTACTACACTTATCTAAGAGGAAGATGTGTTCTAATGTGTGTTTATGTATTTCATGTAAAACCCTAGTTTGGAACTTTTTTCCCTATTTAATCCTATAACATAAAAATAAATTCTGTTGCTGGATCACAACCTGCAACTCCGTGCTTCTTGAGTCCCACAGTATTCCACTGCTCTTAAAACACTTCCAAGTTACTCCCTTTACTTGAAATTCTCTTTGTCCACATCCTGTAGGCCTGTAACGTAGTGTGCAGGGGAAACTAGATTTTATCTTTTTATTATTATTGTTGCATCCTAGAAGGAACAGGCATTCAGGTGTTAAGAGCTGAACTTTGAAGATTCCTGTGGTCATTTTAAGAGATTACCACATGCAGGCTGTCTGCCTTATCTTTAGTGGAAGCTTCAATACGTGGTTCTAGCAGGAAATGGTGGTTCCTTTCTACAGCTGCTATTCAGAGCCAGAAGCATTGTCAGGGGCTTGGTTTCAGGATAAAGTGATACACCTGGCTCAGGTAAAGAGAGACATACCTAGCATGTGGGATTAGCTACAAGCTAGATACTGACCTAGAGAGCTCTGCAGGTATATTCAAAGATTCCATAGCTCATTCTGATAAAATCAGCTGCAAACAGCTGAGGAGTCAGCATGTTTACTGCTGCTACCTGTGCTGGAGGAACAGTATCTTCCTTCAGAAGTGTAGGGTAGACAGGAGGGCTGGTCATTTGTAGAAGTGCTGGAGTATAAGTCTGGAGAGAATCTACAGAATCATCTCAGGCTGAAAAAGAAATTGAAGCATGCTATGACCTCTCACCTCTGATGATTATGAAAAAAGTTGGTGACTGGTGCACCAACAGGTATGGTGAACACCATACTTTGCCTAATGCCTCATCTTCAGCCTTGCTTATAACATATTCAAATAGAAGAAATAACCTTTTACAGCATGGTACTGTTAGATATAAACAGAACATCCCTGCCTATGATGAGAAGTAGAACTAATGTAGAGAGCTTCAATACCATTACTCGGTAATAACTGGACTGAGGGCTTTGAGGATTTCTGATTATAATTTCCTGAAGTGGGAGACAAATAAGACCAATGGTTAGAATTGCTGTAGTTCTAGCCTTTTATATCTCTCCAGATCATTGCATTGGTCTATCTAAATCTTGGTCATGTAGCTGTAAAGCTTTGCAGCAAAGTATTATATTGGAATACACTGTAAAATAGGGTAAGAAGATCTGTAGGTTGAATGACTAGATGCTGCAGCACAGTTGCTGTTACTAACTCCACTAACTTTGCTTCTGTGTCAGGCTTATCAGTAAAGAAATTAATGTTAAGGTTTTATTTCTTGTCATTAGACTTTTCTTGAGAAGCTTTATGATAATCAAGAGTAGTGAACAGGTGTGGAATCTTGAGTGTCAATTTTTAAGGTCAATTTGCAGAAACATTGTAAGCCTGGCACAGTTTAGTATGGTTCGGAATAGATGACATCCATTTTGATTTTGTTTGTTGACCTTGCCATTAAAGTCTGCTTTAATTCTAAGGATTGTGTGATTGTTTTAAATTATTTTAATTTTAAAACAATCCTTTAACTACCACTTGCCGGTATCTGGTGTGTCCACAGGAAGGGCTTCCAGTATTCTTTCCTTGATGCTAAACAGTGTTGGACCACATCCTTAAAGACTTATGCTTACAAACAAATCCAAACCAACTAAACAAAATTGTATTAATATAAAGATTTATAGTTTAATGACTAAAATACTTTTATATAAAGAATAATAGCTTATAACTTAAATGCTTCTAAGCTGACTCCCAGAACTGCTTTCTGACTGTATGAGAAAGTAGTGTTTAAACCAAAGGCTTCAGAGATTTAACAAAGACAACAACAAACCCCAAAATGTGTCTGTAAGTCAGTTTATATCATTGTGAAAACACATTAAAATAAATAAACACTTTTTTGTAGTATGTGTAATCCCAATAATGCAGTACCTATGTTGGAATTCATATGTATTTAGTTTTATAATACATTGAGTTATATGGGTCCCAGCTCGTGTCACTGTGTATCTACACTATTCCTCTTCCCATTCATTATTATCTAGCTGCAGCATATATTTGCATAAAACAGATGTTTGATTAATTTTTATGTATTTATGTAATCCTTTAATGCAGTTAAGCAGCAGAAATTGAAGACTTCTGGCAGTGTATTACCAGTCACAGCTCTGCAGAACTCCAACTAATACTCTGAAGAATAGCTGCAACCCTGGGACCAGAGTTTCAAAATAAATGTGCCTGAAAATCTGAAGGTAAGTTTGATTTAACATTTATTAATGTAGTGAAAAGACATATAAAAATAAAAGAAGAATGTCATTTAAAATGAACTTTATTGAATTTTAACTCTATTTAATAGTCAAAACTTGTTCTACTGAAATAGGTAAAGGCATTTGTTTGTGTGTGACTGTATAGCTTCTGCGCCAACGTTAACAACTGCGAGCTTAGCTTGATAATAACCAGGCAATGATTATAAAATCAGTAGTGCCAGCTGCCTGGCCTGTGTACAATCAGGCTTTCATGAAAAATCTGGGGCCTGGATTTGACAGAATCACAAAACAGCTGTTCTCAACAGCAGCTTCCGCTCAGAAACTACAGCTATCCCAGGGAGAATTAATGCTCCTTTTCACATTAGTGCACTCTTCTATTGATCCTTATGGCAGCTGTTACTGTGCTTCCCCTACACTTCAACAAGGGTTGACTAGTACTGCAGGCAGCAACTGGCAAAAGAGTCAGGCGGCAAAAGTCTTGACATTTCAGGGAACTGGACTGGGTAAATCGTGTTCTTTTTGTGATCTTTGTCCTTTCAGTATCGTACTTCCTGGAGCCACAGTGGGTTAGTTTGATACCCAGGCAGGATCATATTTTGGTCCCCCACCCCAGCTACCCATCTTAGAAGAAATTGTTTATCTTAAACTTGGGGGAAGATTGTATGGAAAATTCTATAGGCCATAACTGGCCCCTAGGGAAATAAAAATAGAAGTTTTGGGATTTCTTCCTTTTACTCTGCAATGATAGTTTAGTGACTAGAGGTATATTTGCAGCTCTTCACTTCTCTGCTGGTGACTGCAAGAAAGTCAGTTTATCACATGGTACTACAGTTTCTTTACAAGTGGCATTGGAATAATAAAACTTACCTTCTTCATGGAACACCATGAGGTCCATGTAGGAGGCTGGAAGCTTGGATTATTTTAAGAGCATTGGGAAGACCATATTGAGGAACAAAGCTTATACAGTTTTGACTTTAACTATCACATCTTTTCAAGCCAGTGTGAACTGGCATGTGGCAGTTACGTCAGCAATTGGGACCCCAGCCCACATAGCTTTTGAGCATACATCCTGTTAGTGTAAACATAATCAGTGAAATCAGTCAGAGTCTTACCCTGTCACTTTGCTTGTCATGAAAGAGCAAATTTTGTCTATGTTTTACAGAGATGTTTGTGGGAGTACTGAATCCTGTGTTACTTGAACAGAGTCCCTCAGAGTTTTTACCATAGCAAGGGTGCAGTAAACTGAAGCTCCTAATTAAAATAAATCTTCATGCTCCTATAGTAAGAACCAACCTTAAGTGCTAAATGCAGTCTTCGACTATTCATATTCGATTGTACTTTTAAATATACATTCATATCAAAGTCAGAACATCCCAGAGGGCGATGCTTTGATCTAAATTGATTTTGGGGGCGTTTGGGAAAACTGTAAGTTTTGTTGGAGCCCACTAGATGTCAGTGCCTCCACACCATAGACTACTCCAGCTCTGCTCACTAGGCAGCTAGGACTTCAGAGTAATGGATGAGTAATGGCTAGAGATAGGCTATAGCCTATCTGTCATACTTTTACATAACCCTAGAAAATAGTTCCAGGAACAATGCTGCAACCTATTTATTCTGATTGTATGTCTGATGTAGTTCCTACCAAACAATTTATATGCAGTGGAAATACTTTAGGGAATAAGAAGATACATAAGGAGCAAATAAAAGGAAATATTTCTGAATAAATGGACATTCAGTGACCTAAAAACTATTAGAGGGAACCAATATCCCATAATAATACTTTGATTTCTGACTCTTCTCCAAAGGCATCTCTCTCCTTTAAATGTGACAGCTGTTCTGGCGTTGATAGGAATTAACATTCCAACGTTTGTTATTGTTTAGGGAAATGGAATTTTAGATCTGAAAACATATCCAATAGTTAGGTTCATTAAGAGATGAACGTAGGAACATTTTCCATGTGCTCATTTGCATTTACTCTGCAAATCTCTTTCTGGAAGTTTTTATATACTCAACTCTTCTACACACCTGGAGATAGACATACTTCAATACTAAAAAAATAATCAGCTTGAAGATACATATTCTAAAACATTTTTTGAAAAACAAACAGCCTCGAGCTACATATTTTTGTTCTCAGCTCAATAAACCTAACTGAAAATACATGAAATATATATAGGAAGTCATTGCACTAACTGGAGATATTTCTGATCTCTTTACCACCTTGCCTTACTTGATTGTTATGTGGAGAATAAGAATAAGGAAAGTCTCATATTCCTATGCCTTCTTTATTTAAGAAAAAAAAGCTACATTACATTGGAAGAATATTGCAACAGAAGAGTTAAGTATTTTTATCACCTAGAAACAAATGACAGTATGTATATTATATTATATTTAACTATATATCTGAGTATGTGCTTTCATGTTTAACATTTTACCAGTGTACATGTACTTGAATATGAGGTACTTTTGAACATTTACATCTATAAGCCTATCAGAAAAGACAAATATATCTGTTGGAAATCAGTGCTCTTATTTTTTTAATGTACAAATACCTATTTCCCTCCT